ATAGCATTGCGTGTGCTAGGTTGTATGTTAGAGCATTGTGTATGGCATGTTACATCGAGCATTGTGTATGGCATGTTACATCGAGCATTGTGTATGCCATTTCATAGCATTGCGTATGCTAGGTTGTATGTTAGTCATATTGTGTATGTCATCTCATTTACATCGTGTTTGGGATAGGAGTTAGCCCAAGCACGGGAAACGAGAGACGTTTCGTACTTCGAGTGACGGAACGTGTCTCAATTCCCTGTCGTCGACACTCCGGATTACCCATGATGGAGTTTAGGTCTTGTTGTGTTTTCATGTGCATTCATTTCATATTGAGTCGCGCAATTCGACTCCTCGGCCATCATGCATCGATATGTGTGATTGGTGGCACGAGGGTCGAGGACTACACTCCCTGAAGAGTAGTCATGCATACATATGTGAAAATACTTTGCCATGCCCTTTTGTTGCTCTCTGTTGCAGCAAATTAGAAATCAGCAGCCTTTTGGAGCTTTGCATAATATTCCGAGAACAATTGCAAACAGAGGCAAACCGAGGCATCGCAATGGATTTCCGTGCAAGGCAACTCAAGCATGCATCATTCATCATTCGGAATAGAGCTGAGGCAGTCCATGGATTTGCGTGCTAATTTATCTGCTTTCCTAGATTAATTTGTTAATTAATTAGGATTTTGTATTTATTCGGACTGTACTATTTATTCGGACTGTATATTATTTATTCGGACCCTCTGAGCGAGGGCGCAATTGAAATAAGTGTGCGTGCGTGTGATGTATGTCTTCCAACTCCACGTCTTTCTCCCTTTTACTTACAAACTTATGATGGTTAGATTAGGACATGTTTCAATTAGCATACAGTATGATAGCATGTTTGCATTCATTCATCTGTCTAGCATGCACCGGGCTCGGCGCATCATACTAACTGCATTTGTGTTTCAATTCCTAGTTGAATACTTGTTAGTTGTAGCATTTCACATGCCATCTTTAGAATAGCCGAGCCTATCTTAGTTGCATTTTGCATGTGTTACATTAGGCATTTCTTTATAGTTAGGATCATGCATGGATTTCTAACATAGCTTTTGTTTTGGCTTGGAGTGCTCGGTAAGTGTTTATGCTTTAGCATCCTTGCATGTGTGTGAGTGACTGCTATGATAGCATGCTTCGCATGAGGCTATGTGCTTATATGATATAACTGTCTGAATGTCTGTGGGTGAAGGTTGGGTTATTTGAATTGAAACAATTCATCAATTGTGAGTTTTAAGCCCACTCGAGAGTGGCAAATCATCACGTTTTTTAAGCCCACCCGAGGGTGACAAATCCACATTTTAGCCTACTTGCGAGTAGCAAACCGTTTTCAAAACAAACATGAGATGTTTCGTTCCAATTTAAGCGGCCCAGTCTATACTTGTATGCTGTGCGCATCACATAGTAAATCTAGGCTAATAATCGGAGTAAGAATGCATAATGTTTTCAAAACTAGATATCATGGTTAGTAGAGGCCGATCTTTGATCGGGCGAGCGGGGGTGCTCACGAAGTGACCTTCCCCAATCGTACCCAAGCTCCCGAGCCAAGGCAACTATGGTAATGACGGACACGTGGCCTTAGGCACGAGTCAGGATTTCCTAAATTTTTCCAAAATAAAATATTTTGGTGGCGACTCTGTATCTGGCAAAGCAGTCCATGTTTGGCACTTCTTTGTAAAAAAATCTATTTTCCAAAACGATTTGCAGGATTTAGACTCTTTGATGAGTCATCAGTCTTGCATTGCACTCTGCGAGATTAGATACAGGACCGTGACACAAATTGAGTCCGAACTGTAGTGAGTCCCGAGGGCGCGTCTACACTAAGTCATTCATATATGAAATGCAGACTACATGCAAACAACGTACCTCATCAAGTATATATCATATGCTCTAGAATTGGCACTATTCGTCATATTAGGGACATGCAACCATTAACTCATTATTTAATTTATCAACATTTAATTGAAGTAGAATGAAACACTCTCACATTCTCATATAATAACTGTATCAGATTGATACAGTATGTCACATATATATATATATGTGTGTGTGTGTGTGTGAGAGAGAGAGAGAGATATTTTCTAGGTCAAAGCAACATCCAGTTTGGCAGTTTAAAAAGAGATGAATACAGATGACATCTTCTGGGTCAAAAACAATTAAAAAAAAAATAAATATATTATCTAGTTTGGGAAATAAAGATTCATAGGAATGTAACTTGGAAACTTCATTTGGTTATTTTAACATCCTAGATCATCATCTTCTTGGCACATACGAACAGAATTAGTGGTTGATCTCAAAATAATAGCAATGGCAAAGTCAAATTGTGATCATGTTTAGAGCAATTTTAATAGTCAAAGCCAAAATGGATTTGCCAAAATCATTTTTTGATTTGCTACAATGTAAACAAATCATATTTTTTTATTTGCTACGATGTAAACAATTTATATTTTGACTGTATCACTTCGATGAGTTTCACATCACCATTATCTAACTAATTTTTGCTACGTTCACTCTAAATCAATTGAATAATTTATCCCTCAATGATGCAGATGACTATCAAGTTTTTTATTGTTTGATTTCTTGTTTTGAAGATGGATAAATTGTGATTATTGGAGTAATTTAATTGTTGTGATTACAATTTTTTTAGTATTTTTTAGTTTTTGTAATTTGCATAGTTGTTGATAATTTTAGATTTTTTATTAGTGAGTTTTGGTTTATAGAAGTAGTGGACTTTGGTATGAAAAAACAGTTGAGTTTTTAGCCCAAAAAAAATTTGATGTGGCAAAAAATGACTTTGCCAAACTTTATCCAAATTTGGCATAAAATTTGGCTATGCTATTTTTTAACAATAGTGCTAAAATACTATAATTTGGCAATTATATCGTAATGGTGCAAATGCCATTTTTTATATTTTCTCTCAAAATATTAAATAAAAATATTATTTGTGAATCCGAGACGCAGAGAGATAGAATTTTGCTAAATTTTGACAATGTTATAATTTAGCAAGAGAAATAATACACTCCTTGAGATGATTTTTGGAGAAATCTTATCAAGTTTTGATTTTGGTAAGTGTTTTAATGGACCATTATAGATGCTCTAACCTAAGAGTATCTCCAACGTTAAACTATTTTTTTCATCAAATCTGATAAAAAAAAAGTGATTTCCTCAATTTGATACGAGTTCCTCCAACGGGTTGCATTGTAACTTGCATCAAAAGGGCAGGGACATTCGGCTGGATGACCGGTCGGTCGACTGGAAGGTTGACCAGTAAGAGTGAAATTTTTTTTTTTGCCCCTCCATTTCTGTTTCCCATTTCTTTTTCACTCCATTAAATATTTTCCATTTGTTTTGGCCTCCAATAATGATTTCCTTCCAAAAACTGATATAAACCCATTAATCCATCTACCATATACCAAACAAGAGGTACGTTTACATCTCTAACCAACTATAACTGAAGCAGAGCGTAATAAGTATCTCAAATTCATACTTGTTCACTTCATTTTCATCTTCTTCTTCTTCTTTCTCATCCTCTGATGATGAGTCTGATGATGAAAAAATAGTCACACTTTTGGGAGTTTATGAGATAAAAAATGCTAATATGATTCATATTCTACAATTAACTGATGGATTAAAGAAAAGAGGTGGTTCTGTTGTAGGACATAATTACATACGTCGTGATAGATGGAAGGGTCATGAGCGATTGTTCGCGGATTATTTTGAGGCAAATTCAGTTTATTCACCTGTAATATTTCGGAGACGTTTTCCAATGCCTCGTTCTCTGTATTTGTGAATTTTGAATGCCATTGAAGCACGTGACTCATTTTTTGTTCAAAAACAAGATTCAGCTCATATAATTGGATTGTCTCCCCTGCAAAAAATGACTTCAGCAATGAGAATATTGTCATATGGAGTGGTAGCAGATGCAGTTGATGATTATATTCGTATTAGGGAAAGCACTGTAATTGCAAGTTTACAACACTTTTGCAATTCAGTAATCACTACAAGAATTCACACTTTTACCGACTAAAAATTTGGTCGGCAAAAGTTATCCGCGACTAATTTTTTTGGTCGCCACTTTGGTCGCCAATTGAGGGTCGCAGAAAGTAATTAGCGACTAAAAAATATTTGCCGACTAAATTTTTGGTCGCTAAATATATTATTACTGCGACTAATCCATTTAGTAGCTAAAACACTTTAGTCGCGAAAAGTCATATTTTTCCAACCAAACATATTAGTCACCAATTCGCACATTCAACGACCAAATAGTTTGGTCGGCAATTGTCGCCCATTTCCACAACCAACTAATTTGGTCGCCAATTGTCACATTCCGCGACTAAAAATTTGGTCGGCAAAAGTCCATTTTTGGTTTGCAAAAGTCATTCGCAACCAATTTTTTTGGTCGCCACTTTGGTCGCCAATTGAGGGTTGGCAAAAGTGATTGGTGACCAAAACTTTTGTTAGTCAGGAAAAAATTAGATTTGCCGACTAAATTTTTGATCTCTAAATATACTATTACCGCGACTAATTCATCTAGTCGCTAAAACACTTTGGTCGCGAAAAGTGATATTTTCCCGACCAAAGATGTTTGTCGCCAAAAGCAAAAAATCGGCAACCAACTATTTTCGTCGCCAAAAGTTGAGGAATTGCCAACTAATAATTTAGTCGCCAAAAGGTAAGGAATTGCCGACCAATGATTTTAGTACCAAAAGTGTAAAATTTGGCGACCAATTATTTAGTCGCCAAAACTTTTCTCAACCAAATATTTTGTCGCCAAGAGACATTAAACAATCAACGACTACTTAGTTAGTCGCCAAATCTCTTTTTTTTTTTTTTTTTTGAACAATCAATTTTTGTTTATAAACATTCAATCCAATACCCAACCTAAATATAACATTAAATTCATAATATTTTCCTGCTCAATCCCAAACTTTACAATCATTCCATTCAAAACATTAATTGAGACAAGTTGTAAACATCCATCCATTGAAAACCAGTAAGTAATTGAACAAAATTAAGAGCAAAATCAATGATGGAATCCAAAAAAAATTCTAAAACAGGAAGGAATATATATGGTTTTGAAGCATTAGCCTTGTGCTTGATCGTTTTTGGAAGTCACCTACAAATAAAATAAGAAAAGTTAGAATCTAGAAAAACATCCAAAATGAAGTATTCTCATAAAAAAAATTAACCATATGGCAAAAAAATTATATGATTACAGTACAAACATTTGATGATGACTACACCACAATTAAGTATTGGCATACCTAAACAATGAGACAAAGCAGCTCAGCAAGTCTCGCCAAGGTAATCCTTCAGTAATACTTTGAGACAACAAGGATGTTCTGCAAGAAACAATAATTTCTTGCAGATGAACCATTGCAACATATAATTGAAATATATAATTGAACATGAGTGAAAGATTACATGTTCTATTACTCTCTGTCTCAAATCTTTAGCTGCTTTTGTTTCTCTCTCCTTTTGCTAAGCCCATTTGCAACAAGAAATTATATGCTTCACGTGTCCTTGATATCTTGTATTTACTTCAAATTTTTATTTTTTTTAATTTTCCTTTTAAGATATTTTTAATCCATTTCAAATACACTTGAGATTCTCAGTCTAACCACCACTATTTATATATACACAAATACCTATAGATGCAAAGGTAAAGAGGAGCAATATGATTACCATAAATGGAAATGTTAAGGGAAGGGAATGACCTATTATGACGTGGGATGTGGTAGTAAAAAAAGGATAAAAATTTAATTAATTTAATTGAAGATATAGCCTTTGACAGAGTAGGACGGTGACAAAAGATTCATGTAGCTGACTCTACTTGATTGGAACACCAGGCTTAGTTTAGTTTTACACACCAAATTGATCCATTTAGAAAACTTATTCTGATATCTTCAGTTGTCAGATATATCATTTTAAACCTGTCCATGATTTATACATTTGAATGGAGTAGTGCGGTCCAATTGATATGAACAATAAGTGCATTCAAATGCTAATGCAAAGTGTAACCATTCCACTGGGACACTGATTTGTTAATAGAGTTCAAATTAAAAAAAAATTCAAAATCTGTTTCTGATAGATAAACAACGGAGACAATCTAACCTGATTATTTGAAGCCTGTTCATGTATCTGATGTGGCTGCATATTCAAATCCATCATATTTGTCTTCGTGTTGGCATGCCCATCAGCATTGGCATTCGTAGCTGACTCTGGAACCCTGTGATTCTGCTGGTTCTCTCCCATCGTCAATTTGAGTTGCTGATTCTCTCCCCTCCTGTTCTTAGTTGGATCCTCCATACGGCCAGGCTTATCCCCAGGAAACTAAAGATAAAACCGAGGGAAGAAAAAATTGTAAGAGTCTTAGCATAACATTCAGAAGAATAAATATGATCCAGTTCTATCCCACAGAAACAAACCTCAATTCTCTGCCTCAATACAAGATATCTTTCATGGGTTCTTTTACCTCCTACATGAACAATCAAATCGCACTGCAAACAAAGGGAGCTTCCATCCACCTCACAGTAAAAGAAAGCTGCACATGCACAATTCAGAGAGAGAAACATAAGTTTAAACCTTTTTGACCTTTTACAAAAACAGAAAGTATATTTGACATTATGAAAATCTGCATACCAGGTGCATTTTCACATATGTCTGAGTCACCCCCAACCATTAACGGAGTCACCCCCAAACATAAACTTTGGTTCTATTTAAACAGGTAACTAGACACCAACATTTGGGCAACAAACGAGAGAAAGCATCAATCAATTTCAATTTTCAATAACTGATGTACCATACCCATGATAAGTAATTGGAAGTTAATATTTTGCAATGAATAAACCAGTTGACTCAGTCAATTCCATATTCAGATGGTATTTTCTTATTTACAATCAGTTTCAGGATCTTAAAAGCCCAACTCAAGTTCAACCAATGGTAGACAAATAAGAATTACATTGTTAGGGGAAAAGTATTGACCTAAAGGGAAGGGGCCAATTAACACAGAATCGTATATAGTCATCCTATCAAGCAAACTATACACCAAAGTCAAATTAGGCAAAAAATATTTTGTAACAAAGTGTATGCAAGAAAATAGATAAATCCATTTGAAATAAATAGACCATAAAATTCAGATAAAAATGGGGCCATTAAAGTTTCATGAAAACAATACCAATTCCTTGCCAAGCTCAACATCATCTTGGTAGCTGCTCTGCTTGCCTTGACTACTCCCACAAAAGACACAAATACTCTTGAACACACAAAGATATGTACACACATAGCTAATACACGCAAACTTAACTTAACAAGATATCATAACATTAAAAACAAAACTTAACTTACATCACATGTGCCGACCAGAATCTTATGGTTAGGGTCTCTTTTTATATAAATTATTGCTTTATTACCAATCATGATGCTCCACATAACCATCTAATCATTATTTATGCACAACAAATGAAAGTGAGTTTACATAAAAGAAAAAAAGATTCATTGTAATTTCCATCAGCTAGGAATATGGCTATTCATGACATGAGTGATACTGAGCAGGAAAATAGAATTTACATGTGGCTTCCTAACCAGCTCCATGTCATCAAGGTGGCCCCCAAGTGTATCACCTGGCATGAGCAGTGCACAAACATTTTTTACTAAATAATTAGGCTTGTTGAGTTTATGAGCTCTTTCCTTCTAACATCTCAATAACTAAATTCTGAGGAAAAAAAATTAACTACACAAATTCTCATAATCTACTTTAAAACCAAACACAACATTCAAAAGTTAGCTATGACTGAAGAGTACCTAACCTAAAGTAATTCACTATTGCAGCTTTTGGGCGAAATTCTTCCCCACCTGGCATTGCAGGTGCTGCCATCTTTTTAGCCAATTGGCAAAGAGCATCAGGGATCTTGTTGTGTGGAAGAGATACATTGCAATTCCGTTGTACAAACATGTAAGAAAGTTACTTCAGATATTACTGAAGAGTGTATCTCACAGCACTACAATGAAACAATGTTCAAAATAAATTGATGACCAATGTTCATGCTAATTAAACAAAGATGTGCAATATGACATATGTACTAGAATTGTAATTCACGCCAATTGATGAAAAAACTTACACGGGACACAGGTCAAAACAGATAGTTGGTGCAAATATCTTATGAAAGTTCAATAGACATCAAACGATATAGAAATTCACAGTGGTGACCTCATAGCTTGAAGCAATACCAATCATGGTCCAAATGGGTTGCTAGTATTGAAAGAAATAAAGGCCATAGTACTCAATTTGAGATAAAAACTGAAAAAGAACAATATGAAATTAGCAATCACCTTGGACCAGTCAAATTGCAATCCAAGAGTACTCCACCATAACTTCCGCAGCAAACTAGATGCTGGTATCGATTTCAACATATTTCCTCTTGATGATACACCAGGTTCCTCACAAAATTTCCATCTAGGACCATCAACATGACTGACAAAAGAATTAAACTCCGAACCCTCATCTGTGTAGGAACTATCCTCCTCAACAAAAATTTTTCTTTCTTTCGCTGCAATAAATAAGTCACTTATAGGCCCGTAAATTGCATTATAACAGAAATAACTTTTCTTTCCGTCACTCTTCAATTACAAATATTCCTCCCCATCCTAAGCTCCTTACAAATCCATCGCCATTCACATTCTTCACCACTATGCACAACTGTCAAGCCCCAAAAATACCCTCATCTCCAGCACTGGCACTGACCGCGGTCCTTACTTAGTCAATCACTGGCTCAGGACCCACCACCAGAGACTTCTGATGTTCTTTTTTATTTTATGTTATTCGCATTGGCATTTATAAAGCATGGAGTTTGATTCGAACCCTCTTTTTATGGACCCAACTATGAATCAACAAATAATTGATAGATTGAAGAGGGATTTTGCACCAACAAATAATTGATAGACTGATGAGTTGATTAAATATAAATTTTCAACCTTGCAAGTAGAATTTAAAAAATTCTTCACCCCAAAAGAATTATTATATACATTTGTACAATCTACCACAACCTTTTTATACTCCCCAACTTCTTTGTAACATGAAGCCCTGCTAGATAAGACCTCCATGGAAGCAGCACCATCACAAGTCTTCTCAAGAAGAATCACAGCCCAAGAAAGCCACTTTATGGCATCAGCATACTTCCCCTGTTTGTAATTATCCATCCCCTTGTTCTTCGCAGCTGAGGCTGAAACACCAGTAGGCGGTGTTTGGACAGCAAATGGTGAGGCGAGGTGGGGTGAGGACAACATTTTATATGAAAACTTCTCAATGGAAAAATTAACCAAGAGAAATTAAAACAAAATCAAAAACTAAAGATGACAAGCAAAAGAAATAACAAATTATATTAAAAAAAAGTGCTTACCACATGCCCTACTGACTGCCGCATGAGTTGCATCTCCTAAATAGCGTAGCCGCAACTCATCACCAGGTACAAGACGCAACTCATTATCTGCCTACAACATAAAGTGTACTTTTAGCTTTAACAAAGTGTACAAGTTTAGCAACTTTGGGAAAAAGGTATATATAAGGGAACACCACTGACTCAGGTCCCAATTCATATCCTTCAATGCATTGACACTGAGACAAGGCTCTCTGCACAAAAGAACGACAACACTCTCTGTCTTGGCAGAGATGCATCCAAGAAGGAAAGCATTTCGACAACCACAATTGTAACATACAAGGATTGTTTCTCCCAGGGGACTATCTTTTTGAAGACAAACTTCCTTGTGTTTAGCTCGAACCTACGAAAAACAATAGCATAAATGGTCCATGTTTATGTATCCTGATAATTGGTTTCCTATCTTTGTTTAGTAAATTGTCCATGGAAACCCTAGGTACCTCTTGATAGAATATTCATAAAATACTCTACATTAAATTGCTTGCCTTGAAGAAATCTTGGAGCAGATCTAGAATGCCTGGGCATTAGGTGTTAAAACCACAAAAACATCTCTACATGCTAGGGTAAGACTACGAATATCTAACTCTTATCAAACTTCGTAGTGGTGAGAGTCTAGTGCACCTAGAATAAATATATAGTTTTCAATTTGAAGATTCTTCTCCATGTTTTTATGTCTACTTTCCTTGTTATTTTATTTTCTTTAAGACAATAGTCTAATTAATTTATTTGCCATATCTTTATTTATGACTATAAACTTCCTATTCATATATTTCATTGATCCAAATATCATTTATCATCTTGCCAGATTATTTTATAACATTATATCGTTATTATTTCGACAGAAGAAAGAGATGTTCAATTTCGATAGCTGGCTTTTCTCTATTTATTCAATTTTTCAGATGATTGATTTTGTCACTTTGAAATCAATTAAGTTTAAAAGGCTGCTGTAATGAAGATTGGATTGCTAGAAGTTGAACTCTTTTCTCACTCCAACATTTTCTTATACTAATATCACACTTACATATTATACTAATCACTAATGTTGATCAATTTAAAAAGTAAATCAT